TTCACATTGGCCTTTTTTCTTCTATTCCACCTCCTCCTCCTCCCCTCCCCCCCCCTCCAATCCGCCCTCTATCTCAGTCATTATCTTTGTTGAGATGGCTTAGGGTTATATGTTTTGATGTAGAAAGTATCTATGCTTTGCTTTAGACAATTGTTGAAATGTCAAGCTGCTTTAAACTTGTTTGGTTTGTATCTGTCTTTAGATGTGCGGTCAGTTTCTCCGTAGAAAGAAGCATATAAAAAAATTCTCCAGCATGAGAACAGAGAGGGAGTTCTACAAATTCTTTAGTAATGAAGGCGACTATTCTATTCTACAGTCCACACTTCAGAAAGTCAAGAAATGTGTGAGTGTAGAATAAATAGCTACCACTTGATGTGACATCAAACTTTCCAGTCTCCATACGGTTGTTTTAATACGGGGACGCATGGGAATTAGAGAGAAAGAAAAAAAGACACACACACACACACACACACACACACACACACACAGAGAGAGAGAGAGAGAGAGAGAGAGAGAGAGAGAGAGAGAGAGAGACGATGTTAGAGCTTTGGTATTACTAATATTAGAATTTTTAACATGAACAGATACAGGAAATAATGCGTGCATGAAGTGACAGACTGATGATACTGTGTGACAAATCTTTTGATATTTCCTCTAGATAGCGTCGGCAGCTAGAGTCTTGATGTTGTTAAAGGAGTTGTGTTGAGTCACGAATTGACATCACAGCAACTGGGCATTCCCATACGCGCTCCGTCTCCATCCTCAGCAGCCAACGCAGAGTTCCATACTAATGGTGCCGGTCGTAGTCTGGTTGTACATCCATCATGCCTTTCTTCTGAGAGTAGTGTGCTGGCCGAACCCTGTGGTAACTCTCTGGTATGGACCACAATGACGGGACATTGCGGACGGTTGGCTATTCTATTGTTATTTGTGTTTGTGGCTGCTCTCTTTGTGATTTCATGGGTTCCGTGTCTGTAATCCATTCGTTTAGACAATTTGTTGTTGATGTTTTGTGTGTTTTTTCAATTAGGTTTTTTTTTTAATTATGTTTTTTTTTTTTTGGTTGGTTGTTGTAATATTTATGCATATGAGTGTGCTCGAGGACGAAAGAACGAGCTTTTTTTTCTCACGGGTCACAAATGAGGCACATTCTGTTTTTAAAAAAAACTCGTCTTTCACACAGCAGTTGTATTTACCTGAACGGTACGTTATGTGCATATATACACACACTCACACATACCCATAAACACACTCGTATACACACACTCTCATGTAAACTCATACATACATATCTTCATACATACAAACTCATACATGTGCCTATGTCCATACACATGCATACACACAAACAACAGATGTATTCTTTCATACCACACACACACACACACACACACATATATATATATATATACATATATATATATATATATATATATATATATATATATATATATATACATATATATATGTGTGTGTGTGTGTGATATATATGTACATCTTGATAGTCTTGTTGCATGGCATGGAGGTGTGTCGGCACACGAACTGATACATGCTGCAGGAGATCATGGATTATGGAGAGGCATGATCGCCCACGCCAGTCGGTAAGGTACCTGATGATAATGATATATGTACATATAAATTATGTATGTATGTATAATTGCATATATATATGCATACTGGGAAGTAAACGCGGTCGGCGTGATGTCCACGTCACCCACCGAGCTCCGATTGGTCAATAGAATATAGGTCTAGTCCTATATGCCCAATACGCCTGAAGGGGTGGAAAATGGTCCTCTAGTTTGCTTACTTACTGACATGCATACACACATACGTACATACCTCACAAACATTCATGCACATATAACTCACGCACACGCTCATATACTCACATGTGTACAAACAAACATACAGCAGAATCATACATGTACAGACTATATTACATACACTCATACTCATTCGTGCATACACATTCATTCTTGCATATATATACAAACATTTACAAAGACAAAAAAAAAAAAAAAAAAAAAAAAAACCACAAATAATCTTATAATATACTCACTTGCACGCACTCACACAGACACAAAACATAGAGAACAGTATGTGAGAAAGAGAGAGAGAGCAAGAGAGAGAAAGACAGTATGTCAGTGAGAGAGAGAGAGAGAGAGAGAGAGAGAGAGAGAGAGAGAGAGAAAGAGAGAGAGAGAGAGAGTGCGGAAAATTATAAAATGGACTTTCTTATATATCTTGCTATTTGTTTTTTATTCATTTCATTATCCCGTCTTTACAGAAGACAACTCTATCTCTTGTATATGGCTACACATACAGTTTTGCTGTGAAGAACCTTGTTCTTATTCTTGACTTACCGTATCTTACTTCTAGGTAGCACACATAATGGTAGATTACGGCCAGCCATTTTAAAGTAATTAGTTGACAAGTTAGCTCACAGGGAAGTTGATCTGTTCCTGCAGAAAGACGTGGGCAGGCTAATCCTCGATAAGTAGAAGGGTACGTTTTCCTTGAACCTATACGGATTTTGTCTCTGTTGCTGGTCATCAAAACCGGAGTCCCAAGAGTCGGCGTGTGAAAAATGCCCATCATTGGCAGTAAACCCCCGTATGGTTTTATCTAGAGTGTCCCCGTTACTGCCTAATGTCTGCTCCTCCTGTGTTCCAAGAACATTGTTTGCAGCTAAAGCCATGAAATTGTCACTGAAACGGTCAGACATTTCACAAGTTCCACCCATTTTTGCATCAGTATCATGTAGAGTAATGTTCTCTATGTTATTCGATGCAGCATTGCGGAAACTATATTTTCTTCTACCGAACCGGGTTGAGTAATGCTTGGTCATTCTCTCTGCTCCAAGGATAATAAGGGACAAACCAATCCCGACAGCCAGCATGTAGAAGCAGCTCTGAACCTCCATCAGCGTGATTGGCGTAGCTTCGGTGAACATTTTCCCTTGACAGATTTCTCCCTTAGCCCACCTGCGAGAGCTCCATGTTTGAAACAGACCCAGGTCACTCATGTCGATCATTCTGAAATACAGCAGGGTGTATGATTTTAATCGTAAAGAAGTAGATGCTTTGATGAAAGAAGTCACTTTCGTAAAGCTTCCCTGAAAGGGAGCTTTAGGTTATAATTGTGACTAGCTATGTGCGCAATATGGTTTTGAGGTTTTGAACAACGGATCAACATCATGGCACACCGGTGTAACCCTTAAGTGCTCAGTTATTCTTCCAACTCAAGTCTGAGTCTGAAGAAGCTCAGCACAGTGCGTATGCTCTGTAGCACCGGCGAGGATCCTAAAATACTTTCGGTAGATTTTTAACTCCAAAGTTTGCCCGGGCAGAGCCGTTAGGTTAGTCTTTTTGATTTCCAACTGCCAAGGGATTTTTTTTCAATGCACTCAGGCGTCTGACCTCACTACCTAGAGACCAGGGGGGATTACTAGAAGTCTAAGTCCCAAGAAAAAAAATTCCAGCCCTTACCCGGGATTAAACACGGAACCTCTAGCACTCGAGGCGGACACCATGCCTCGAGACCACACAACCCCCTAAGCGCTATATAAAATGCCTTAGCATTGAACGCTATCAAGAGCCACGAAAAGGACTCCTACAGTGTTAATGCGATCAAAGAGGACAGACCCGAATACTGTCCCGACCAGCAATGATTTTAATTGTATTGTTAATGTGTGTGTGGGTGGGTGGGTGGGTCGGGGTATATATATATATATATATATATATATATATATATATATATATATATATATATATATATATATAAATGTGTGTGTGTGTGTCTGTGTGTGTGTTTTGAATGACATGTTACAGAAAAATTATTAGAATACCACTGATAAAGAAAAAGAAAAACATCGACATTCTTCACGAGTTGAACATCAAGGAAAACTGGCTCATTAACAGCGACATGTATCGAAACTTGAAGTATTTTGGCCACGTTAAAAGTCATGGTGGCTTGGAAAGGACTATGAAGGAACAGATAAAAATATTATGAAGGACATTAAAAACACACTACTATAATTTAAACTGTTCGATAGCTTTAGTGGCAGGATGGTGAATTGAGTGGACATGAATAAAAAGCGTTCATTGCAAGATACTAACCCTTCATGTGCATTCTTAAGTTTAATGCTTATATCCCAGCTCATGTTATTGATTCCTAGAGCTCCCTGCCAGACCCCAACGCTCGTTATGTATTCTCGCGTTCCATGATAGATCCTAACTCCCTGCACGATTTCGACATGTTACTTTCGAGATCCAAAGCCTCTCTGTTTACTGTTCAAGTTCCCTGCAAGATCCAAAGCCTCTCTGTTTACTGTTCAAGTTTCCTGCAAGATCCAAAGCCTCTCTGTTTATTCATCAAATTCCCTGCAAGATCCAAAGCCTCTGTGTTTATTCATCAAATTCCCTGCAAGATCCAAAGCCTCTCTGTTTATTCATCAAATGCCCTGCAAGATCCAAAACCTCTCTGTTTATTCATCAAATTCCCTGAAAGATCCAAAGCCTCTCTGTTTACTGTTCAAGTTTCCTGCAAGATCCAAAACCTCTCTGTTTATTCATCAAATTCCCTGCAAGATCCAAAGCCTCTCTGTTTATTCATCAAATTCCCTGCAAGATCCAAAGCCTCTCTGTCTATTCATCATATTCCCTGCAAGATCCAAAGCCTCTCTGTTTATTCATCATATTCCCTGCAAGATCCGAAGCCTCTCTGTTTATTCATCATATTCCCTGCAAGATCCAAAGCCTCTCTGTTTATTTATCATATTCCCTGCAAGATCCGAAGCCTCTCTGTTTTTTCATCAAATTCCTAGCAGGATCGAGAACCTCTATTTTTACTCATCGTGTTCTTTGCAAGATCAAACCCTTCTCTTTGTATTAACCATGTTCTCTGCAGGATTTAAAAAAACCGTTGTTTGTATTCACTTTGCTCTCCAAAAGATAACAACTCTCACAAGGCGTTACATTCCTTGTAACAACTCTACTTACGCTCTGGAAACTAGAGTCCTGTATGAAGAGTTCTTTACCAGACCCACTGCATACTGCACTGGGAAGAACTTCTCTTTGATGGTTCTCAGCTCACAGTCCTTGTTAGCCCAGATATCAATTCTGGACTTGTCGCCAAAGAAGGCGTAATCCCCTTTGGATACCTTGTCTCGATGATAGTCAACTCTGGGGGACAGAACGCTGGGGTCAGATTTGTTGAAGCTCTTGATTTGCTCCCAGATTCTCTGTTTAACTGGGTCGTGAGATGTCTGTCAGTGAAGGGAATCACTTATGAGTTTAGGAACAAATGTAAGGCATTGCTAACTAAGTATAGAAATATTAAGTAAATGTATTAAATGGGTGTGATCATGGATAGTCAACAGAAGTGTGTGAGATTATGGGGAGATGGCCAACAGAAGTGTGTGAGATTATGGGGAGATGGCCAACAGAAGTGTGTGAGATTATGGGGAGACGGCCAACAGAAGTGCGTGAGATTATGGGGAGACGGCCAACAGAAGTGTGTGAGATTATAGGGTGACGGCCAACAGAAGTGTGTGAGATTATGGGGAGATGGCCAACAGAAGTGCGTGAGATTATGGGGAGACGGCAGAGATGTAGATTTATTAAAGAGTAAAGAGAGCAAGCACAACGGACGCATGGATTTGAAACATGTTAATCCTTAGGTTCTTCTGCTTCTTCTTTTTCTTCTTTTCTTCTTCTTCTTCTTCTTCTTCTTCTTCTTCTTCTTCTTCTTCTTCTTCTTCTTCTTCTTCTTCTTCTTCTTCTTCTTCTTCTTCTTCTTCTTCTTCTTCTTCTTCTTCTTCTTCTTCTTCTTCTTCTTCTTCTTCTTCTTCTTCTTCTTCTTCTTCTTCTTCTTCTTCTTCTTCTTCTTCTTCTTCTTCTTCTTCTTCTTCTTCTTCTTCTTCTTCTTCTTCTTCTTCTTCTTCTTCTTTTTCTTCTTTGCGGTTGAAAAGGGCTTACCAGGATTTATACATGTAGGATTCTTATCCTTGAGGTCTGAATCCTGCAGTTGCAGTTCTAGAGCGGACCAACTGCATCACCATCAGCAGCAGCCAGTCAGTCATATTTTCGAAAACGGGTCTGGTCAAGAGTTTTGGACCAAGTGTGTGTGTATGTGAGTGTGTGTGTGTGTAAGAGAGAGAGAGAGAGAGAGAGAGAGAGAGAGAGAGAGAGAGAGAGAGAAAGAGAGAGAGGGTGGGGGGGGGGGGTATAATTAATACTTGTGTATTGTTGAACTTATGTGTTAACTTTAAACTATCTGCGGCAAGACAGAAAGCTGGCGGGAAGCTTGGCCCAGAGTTTGAGGGAGCGTCCACGTTTCCTATTATTAAGTGAATGCGACCTAAACGTGAATAGGTTTGATCTAGGAATCTGGTTCAGTCAGGGTATTCACTACGAATTTGTATAAAATACGACCATCAGAATTGTAAGAGATTGTAGAAAGAATGTATTGTTGTGAAAAAAGTGATGACAGCGCTTTTGACAGACATAAATGATGATATATATGTCGACATTTTGAAGGGCCATGCACTGTGATAGTGTTTAGTAGAGAAGTATCAAGCAAGAATAGCTGCTGTTCAATAACTGTCGCAACCTCTGTAATTTATGGACAGTCAGCGAATTCAAGTATTCGGATAGACATGGTGTTTTAGAATGAAACAAAAAAGTAAAGGCCCCCTTTCCATGCCTTTAGGTGTATAGGGCATATAGGGCCATACCTATATTTTTATAGAACAATCTGCACAAGATGGGTGATGTGGTCAGCATCACCCCAACCGCCTTTACTTCCCGGGATGCACCCGGTACCCACTCAAGGCTAGGTCGACCTAGAAGTCAAGGTCATTATTGAAAAAAAAAAGTCGGGCTCCGACAGTGAGCGAACCCACGACTTTCCGATCCGCACGCGAGCGTCTAGCCACTACGCCACGGCGACTCTCTGCATCGTTTATACTAACATAAATCTAGCAGTCGATGACTCCATTCTGTTCTATTATCTGCAGTCTTTTCAATATCTTTTTTCTTTTTAAGCAACGCCTTGTGGTGTTGGTAGTCATGTCTACCCACAACCTTAAGTCCCGTGTACTTTCAATCAGCTCTGATAAAGATGATATTCCATGCCATGATGACAGACTGTCTAGCATCTTTTTTCTCGGTCTCCCTTTGCCTCTCTTCCTCTCCAACTTTCCTACTAACGATGTACTCTAGTTTTCTCATTCTTCTCACATGACCAATGAAGTAAATTATCTTTTTCATGTATATGGGCAATCGGTTTTCCTCGTTAGTCAATTTCTTTCAAGATATTCTTGTTACATAGCGATGTAGCAGGTGGAAAACAATTTGGTGCATGTGATCATTATCTACCTTGCTCTCTTCCGCCACCCCTCTCTGTTTTTTCTCTCTTCTCTCTCTCTCTCTCTCTCTCTCTCTCTCTCTCTCTCTTTCTCTCTCTCATTCTCGCCCTGTTTATTTGTTTTTAACGTTTGATGAATTTGATCTTCGAAGTTCTTGCATCCTTAGTCCATTTATTTAACCACTTCACTGTCTGTTTCGTTTTTCATTAGAAGGGATACTTCTTTTCTCGGAATATTCAAGTATGTTTGAAAGCACTGCAGTTCCCATTTTTTTTTTTTTTCGAAACGACCTGACACGAAATTACCATAACATATGTTATATTATTTTATAATGTTTCCGATATAGGACTAAACATCCAGTGACAATGCTACTGTGTATGCGGATGATCGTGTAGTTTTGCACAACCGATGTAAGTGGACTTTTGTGACAAGAACAAATACAAAAATTATTGATGGGGCCAGCGAAACTTGCTACCACCACAAGCATCTTAACAATGTAGGTCATGAAGTAATAAAGACCTTAGAATGGATAAATACTCAAATGTATGCCCTAGTGTGTATGCTTAATGCATTAATAAATCTGATTAAAAAAAAAAAAAGACCGGATTTATGTGAGATCAAAATTATCACCCACTGCATTATCCAGTGCTTGTACCACCGTCTTTGTTTTTGTTCGGAGACGTAATGAGGTGAATGTTATTGAAAAAGCAAAAAATCTTGTAGGCAACGTTACTATAGAACCTGGATCCTCATTTGATGACAGTTACATAAAGTTATGCAAGAGACAACATTTGCTGAAGGCCTGTGACATGAGGATACTGATTTTTCCATTGTTCAGATGCTAAGTCCAAGTATCTCCTTAGGAGAAGCGCCATAAGAATACCGCAAAAATCTCAGAATCGCAGCCAATTCAGAACACGGGTGGCCAGTGCAAAAAGTAAGAAGCATACTTGGAGAAGATATGCCAGGTGGGCAATAACGATGATCCTTCAAAAAGCAATCAACTATATTATATTTACCTTCAGCAAATATTCCTGGTTTTCGAACTGTGGAGAAATAAAAAAAATAAAAAAAGATTAATGTTAAAAAAAGAGCCATTATACATGCCGGTATTATTTTCTGTTTCATTAAAAAATTTTTTTTTAATTTGTGCTGCCAGTTTTCTTCTTTTCATAAAGCGAATATTTGTGAATTTTTTGCAGAACAACGAGAACATTCGGCCGGAGATTACAATCACGAAAAAGACACACACACACACAAGGAATAAGAAGATGTAAACGAGGATGAAATACTACATCGGTTAGACGCACATTGTCGTGACCGGAATTTCTACACTCTGTTGAAGATAAAAAGATATAGACAAGCCAGTCAGCACGGAATATGATTATTTAACGTTTCCGTTTAAACCATACAGAAATCTCAAGATTACCTACTTTAGGTGCGTATCATTTTTTTTTAAAGAAGACGTTGTGGAACCAATCCTAACATCTTTGGCTGTTGTGATTTCACTAAACAATTTTACGTTCATTAGCTCGACATTGCCACCAAACTGTTGGCTCTCGGTACCACTGTTGAAACCAACGCAAGGCGGTCTGCTGCCAATCGCCAGCAGCTGAGATCGCACCCAGCATCTCGGAATTACGAGGCGTATTATCTGTGCCCAGGGTAGAGACACCGACTTACCTGCATTAGGTATCTTATCCCAAGTAATAGTTAATTTTTAAAGTTCTGAATGTATGTATGCCAGTTGTACCCCACCACGACGTCAAACAAAGCGATAAACACCTGGTGACACAAAGTGCCACTATGCGGATGAGGATCACCCTTGGAGAGGTCCCAGAAACCCCTTTCAGCCGTTAGGCCATATTTATGGCCCGACTATATTTAGGGCCCCCGGCAAAAACCAGGGTGGGGCTTCCAATAACGTAAAATTGCATCCCACATGGGAACGACATTGTTAAGAACACTTCTGAATGTCTTATTACCACACATAAACAGAAATCTAAGACTAAGAAACTGTGTCATTCAAACAAAAGCCTCACTTACCCCTAATCTTGTTTTATGCGCAATGGTTCCTACTGTGCCATACTTATACCCATTCTGATCGAGCATACTCTGCAGGGAATCGAACGGAAGCGTATCTAAGTTGACCGTCAGGAAAGCGATGAGGTTACCGCTGTAGGTCGAGGCCACGATCACAGAAAACATCAGCCAGAAGCTAACGAGGGTGAGTCCAGTTGTGGACGTAGGCAGCTCCTCGCCGCCTGCATGTGTAATGGTGAACAGATTTGAAAAATAAGAACTTAACGGACCCTTTCACATATTCTCACATATAAAATATGATTGTGGGTCCATGCTGTATACGCTAATCAAAACATGTAATTAACGGAAACTTTCACAAATTCTCAAATAACAAATATAGGTTCTTTCGTAAAAAGTCCCCAGGTGACGTCACGGGGACAGTCCAATATTTTATAAGGTGGTACGACCGGGTTTTCCGGCTTTGCGGTGCGTTTAACTACACGAAAACACCTACTATTAAAACTAACCCCAACCCACCTACGTCTCTGGAGAGAGTGTAACCTAGGTCCCACGACTGCATGGGGAGACTTATTACGAAAGCACCGAAATTACGTGTTGGCTCATGCTGTATACGCTAATCAAAACAAGTAATAAACGAACCCTTTCACGTATTCTTACATAAGAAATATGCTTGTTGGTCAATACTGTATACCCTAATCAAAACAAGCACTTAACGGACCCTTTCACATATTCTAACATAAGAAATATGCTTGTTGGCCCATGCTGTATACGCTAATCATTTTCAAGTAATTAACGAAAACTTCCACATATTCTCACATGGGAAATATGTTTGTTGGCCCATGTTGTAAATGCTAATCAAAGCAAGTAATTAAGGGAAAATTTCACATATTTCCACATAAGAAATATACTTGTTAGCCTATAGTGTATATGCTATCGACACGGGGTGAGTGATATGGTCACATTTTTTTCATGGGCTATGTTCTGGTACTCATAAAGGTTTGAGTTATACGAGAGCCTTGGCCAATAAATCAGATCCGTACTTGCTTACTTCCGGTTTGCAGGCAAACGTCTGCGAGTTCATACAATTAGAAATAGTTCATGCTGTAGGAATTTGGTAGTCATCTGTAGCCTCCAGCTTCTGTCTCGTGTACTTTGTGCTTCTAGTCAGTTCTGACACAGATGATATTCCATGTTATGACGTCAAATTGCCCAATATCTTCTCTCTTATATATATGTAACATAATTTGTTAAATTTATTAATACATTTCTTTTTCTTATAATACGACAGTACATGTCTCTTTTAACTATTTCCTGTTCACAGCTATGTCTCTCATGTACTGCCATTTATTTTTCTTTGCATTTATTCTCACCGCACATTGCCGTTTCGGTTAATGCAAACAGTGTCCTTCCTTGATGGGTGGGTTGTTGTAACTAGTGGGCCTGTAGTGGCATCCCCTGCTAGACACAGCGACAGTTATGTTCTGAGAACAAAATGCTCACTAACTTTTTCAGTCAGCTGCTTGCTTTGATCCTAAACGTTGCTAAATATTGTTCCTTACAACTCCTGTTGGTGGTTTAACCGTATTTGGCGACCCATATATCATATAGACCTATATAGTCTGTGACAAATTAGGTTTATTAGTGTTTGAAAAAAAACACAAAAATTGTCAAATGTTATGCCTTCTCAACTAACTCTGTTGAATGGTCAGAGACTTGGAAAATTAGGAAGCAATTAGAAAATCCTACTGAATCTGGAAAAATGGATAGACAGAAGAACATGTCTTTTTGATGGAATCAAAACCAGAGAATTACAGCGGACCTCAAGAGATCTGGAACAGACCTGCTGAAGGAAATGAAACAACCACAAAATGAAATATTACAACTATTTTTTTTTAAAGACATCAAAAATGTGTGAATTTATGAAGTTAACTTTCGCACCTTCTTTACCTTAGTCATTTTGCTCCACAATTATTGTAGCTCGAGAGCGAGACGGCAGATTACATATTCTCACCTATACATATCAATGAGAAGCGGGGATACTAGATTCATATTTGTATAGACTAACAGCACTCTATAAGTGATATGGTCAACGTCACAAAAACCATTTGTATTTCCTAGGAATTTACCCGGTACCCTTTTAAGGCTGCAATGACCTTGGAGCTAAGGTCGTTTCTGAAAACAACCGACTCGATGCGAATTCGAACCCAAGACCTTCGGGTCTGCAGGCGAGTGTCTAGTTGGTGCGTCGTCGTGGCTGCATCTTCAGGCAACAAAATCCAAGACACAAGACGATCAGAAAAAGTGGGTGGAGGGAGAGATCAGCCTTTTGTGCCCGCTAACCCACTAAGCCTCATGGCCTTTGAGAGCGACTCACTCACGGACTCCGAAGAGCTGGGGAAATATACGCACAGGTGCTTCCCTGAGCTTTCTCGTGTTCCCAGAACATATGGGCCAGTCGGACTCGAGCGATTTTAATTGCGCCCATTATGCCAGATAACTAGGCGTGCACTGGTAGTAGCTGGAAAAAAAAAGATTGATTACTGTGGTAAAAGAAAACACTTTTAATTTGATTTATTGCATGCACATTGTGAAATTGTTCAGATATCCCTTTATTTTTACATTTCATTGCCATCTACCATTCTTTGTGCCCTACCACCTACGCGTAAAATTATTTCTAAACATCGTAATCTAACTTATAGGACACACGGTTTGATAGGTTCAAGTTGATTTGCCACCATAGATTCCAGAAAAGGTTGAAAACCACTGATCTAGTGTGTTCTTGGTGTCAACTTTATTCTTTCGCAAAAATGAGTGCAGTACGTGTATTATAGGTTTAATTATAATACGTATATAATACAGTTTGGTTGTCAAACTGAGAGAGGTCGAGTCGTATAGGATAATCCTGTCGCGATTAGATCGGTTCTCTACTTGAAACAGTCTGTAAAACTGTCAGCAGTGTGGACTTACACACCCGAGTCACAGACTAACAGAAGATTGTGGAGAGCATCATCACCTTGTGTCAGAAGAGAGCCGAACAAATAACAGATGGAATCGATGAAATTGTCAAATGCACTTTTCTGTGAGTTGGCCTGATAGTAAGGGTTCCGCCGCTCCAGTATCGTAATGAGTATTGCTACGCTAATCATGGAAATCCAGATGGTCAGATGTACCTGTGTGTAGACAACAGATACAATTAATGTAATGAAACATGCTGACAAAAAGGTTCGCAATAGCATATCTGCAATAATACCAACACGGATATGTCTAAGCCTGTGACATATCCCGCTTGCCTGCTTTATTCACACACAAAATATAAATAAAGTACATAACAGACACACAGAAATTGTCCCAACAAGTAGACGGATGGGGTAACAAGCAGTTGGAATGACAAGCGAGCGGACGGTTAGTTGGTTAATGGGGAAGACTGACCTTTAAAAACGGTCCATTTTATCACGCTTCTACATAGCTCACTACAGGGGAAGAGATAGAACTAGAAAGACGTGGGTCAAAATTCTTACAAGTTGAAAAAAAAATTGCCTTGAAAATGTTGTCAAGTGCAGTAAAAAAAAAAAGTTTACAAGTTGATTAAAGTTAAATAAGTTCAAAGTTGATAAATGAAGAAAAAGTTTACAAGTTGATCAAAGTTAAATAAATTCAAAGTTGATCAATGTAGAAAAAGTTTACAAGTTGATTAAAGTTAAATAAGTTCAAAGGTGATCAATGTAGAAAAAGTTTACAAGTTGATTAAAGTTAAATAAGTTCAAAGTTGATCAATGTAGAAAAAGTTTACAAGTTCACCACCAGTGAAACATTTGTCAAGGTAAACGACAATCAAAATACTGTAAAGAAAATATGTGTTTGGGCCGCTAAATCAAACTTGAAATCTGACAAGTTTATCAGCGTTGAAAAACATTTTTTAGTTGAACGTCTGTAAAAAGAAGATTAAAAAAAACTATGGTGACAAGCTGATGTCCGTCAGTGCAAACGTTCTGATCAGTTGAATAAAAATTGAAATCTTTGAAACGTTGAATGCTGTGAAAGGTTGACAATTTGACCAACCATGGAAACAAAACTTTACAAGTTGATCATGTTGGAACGATGTCCATCAGTAAGAAAAATGTTGACTCGTTGCAAGAAAAGTGAAAGAGCTACCAAGCTACTTGGAGTCACATAGTGAAAATAGTGCACAAGTTGACATGTTGACTTATCGTGAAAAAAAAATGTTCAAGTTGCCGGTACCAAAAATGTTTACATGTCTACCACTGGTGAGAAAAGTTGTCGAGTTGATCACGTTGAAATGAAATGCAGGAATCTCGCGCGCGAACGAAATGGGATGACTTTCGTTCATGATTATTTCCGTTTCTTTTTTTTTACTATTTAAAAAAAAATGTTAGGGTACTCAAATAATCATCGAATCCCACAACCTTTGCTAGTAATATTTGCTTCAGGACTTCCTTCAACTTTTAATGGAGATTATAAAACAGTTTCATTTAAGTTGAGATGAAAAATTTCAACAACAACAACAAAAAAAAAAAAAAATACGTACCGACCTATTGGCATAAAGGTGTAAAGTATGAAGCCTTCCCACATTGAATGTCACGGCATATTTAGTTTGGTCTATATAGTTCTCTTCCATTCCTCTTTTCTTTCCAAAATTCCCAAAACCTTCTAGAAATTACTAGTAGTCTGTTGCGACATTAGTGACCTATCTTGCTATCCGAGATTTAAAAAAAAAAAAAAGGGGGGGGGGGGGGTTGGCATGTAATTTCAGTGTATTAAATCCGATCTACTTTTCAAGGAACCACACATACCAACAATACCTCAGCGCTTTCTGAAAGTTTAGCTCCCTCGAATAGCCACTAAAACGTGTTGACAGTAAAATGCAAAGCTTGAACAATGGTATATTGACCTGCCACTTAAACGGGCGTATCAAAGTGAGCCACTTGGAGCTATTAGGGTCCTGTCGTTTAAATACCACTGTTGTGTAATCGGTGAAGAACGGGTATGCGAAGTCAATGACATTATCCCTTTCGCCATCCATTGCCAGCGGAGCCACCACCATGTCCACCTCCTGGAAAACAAACAGTTAAGGAAAATCAAATAATGAAGACGTCAAACAAGTTGAGGTGAATCAAGAACAGACATCACAACACTCAGAGATTTCCCATACTTGCTCCATCACCTTCTACAGCAGCCAGTAAAGAGTTTCAGTTCCCATGGTCGCAGCCGCAATCTGATTAAATGTCGACATTAAACAACATATTGTTTAATTTATTCTCAGTATAATTCCAGTCATCGCTAGTTACATACTAAATAAGTTACGTAAACATTCAATGTGGCTTAAAGGGAAAATTATTTCAACCGAAATCTTACAGCCCACGATTACAAAGTATGTCTCACCCCGTGAGACTAGGATTACCGATGTTATATTTCACAAAAAGATTTATTGTAAGGCTTCACTTTTATTGACGTATTCTGAGATATAGTATTTGAATTAGAGTCTGTGCCTTATGGCTTAAGAGTGCTGTTCATAATTCTGAAATACTCAGTTATATTCAGCTTCATGCACTTTAACAGCAGGCGGTTTCACGTAGATTTCGATAATACCGTGAAATCTCGCTAACACGAACTCGCTTTAGACAAACACCCAGTTAACATAAGCAACATTTTGGTCCCAGCTGGGATTTAAAGAACAATTAGTAATACATATGTTAGTCCTCCAATAGCATTATTTCTGTTTAATCTGGAATCTTAATTGTTCTTTCCCTTGGAATCTGAGTTAATAAGCTTTTAATGTAAAATAGAGCGTTAGCTGTTTACGGGGAAATCATAAATCTGTGAAAATAACTTGCCTAGTAATACAACCAATAGCCAACAACTGCTGCGGTCAGTTTGCAACGGTTTGTAAAAACTAAACAACTAGCTATATTGCTTGTCCCTTTTCATTTAAGTTTTAAAAAAAGCGAAACTTTTTAAAATTTTTATACTAAGATAAAAATGTATACTTGTTACCCCCTAAATAACGTCCTAGCAGTATCGTCCCCCTTATATATATATATATATATATATATATATATATATATATATATATATATATATATATATATATATATATATATATATATATATATGTGTGTGTGTGTGTGTCTGTGTGTGTCTGTGTCTGTCTGTGTGTGTGTCTGTGTCTGTCTGTGTGTGTGTGTGTGTGTGTGTGTGTGTGTGTGTGTGTGTGTGTGTGTCTGTGTCTGTCTGTGTGTCTGTGTCTGTCTGTCTGTGTGTGTGTGTGTCTGTGTCTGTCTGTGTGTGTGTCTGTGTCTCTCTGTGTGTGTGTCTGTGTCTGTCTGTGTGTGTGTCTGTGCCTGTCTGTGTGTGTGTCTGTGTGTGTGTGTGTGTGTGTCTGTGTCTGTCTGTGTGTGTGTCTGTGTCTGTCTGTGTCTGTGTGTGTGTGTGTGTGTGAGTGTGAGTGTGTGTGTGTGTGTGTGTGTGTGTGTATAAATAATCCTTCATTCTAATGATATTGCTCACTACATTCAGAGGAAGGACATGACGGACGTATAACCAGATTGTGACCGGTACCATCGGTATTGGAACTCTAAGCTGGCTGCTGAAGATGAGGAAAGAGCATGTATGGGAATGCACTGAGTGCTGTGATGTCAATCCTGACTCAACTCAATTCAACTCATAATAATATCCTGATAGTAATAATCATTAATGGTATTCGGAAGATTATCTCTAATTGATTTTCTTTCTCGTTTATTGTGATCACTTTGTGCAATCAATATCTGCAAAAAAATGCTCCCTCTATAACTTTGTCTATTGTCATAGGCAAATCGTTATCATACTGGAACACACAGTGAATGCTAGATATGTCCTGGGAAGTATCTGCTGCCTATGTTGTGTTGCAATCTTCCATATATTTTATAGACGTGAAAAAGTAGGGATTTACAAGTTACCAGGGTAATAACGTGACTGATTTTGAATTTCCCGCGGGTGGATGTGAAGCAATCAAAACACTGAAATGCGAATTAGGGCCTTCTTTTCATGTAATAAGCGATACAAATGGTTACACATTACAGGAAAACAAAGACTTTTTAGAAAGATGGAGAGAATACTGTAGAGAAATGTATGAACATCTGACAATTAATTCAAAAACAACCTAGGAAAGTTATGAAAAAGAACCAGAGCATTTAATGGGTAAGGTACGATCAGCAATACACAGCCTGAAAAAATGAAAGTCACAAGGCTGCGACGAAATACCAGCAGAACTAATTCAAGCAGGAGGAGAGGCCAGAGTCAAAATCTACGACGCACTGTGAACGAAGATCTGGAACAATGGCATTTGGCCTACAGCGTGGAAAAAAACAATCTATATCCCTCTCCCACAGAAATAAAATCTGAAACTATGCTCCAAATACCATACTAAATCCTCTTACGAAATATCAAGAAGAGGATTGAAAAGAAATTACAATATGAGCTACATAAAGCACAAGCAAGTTTCAGACAGGGTAGAGGAACTAGGGATCACATCTTTAAAATACAAATAATTTTTGAAAATTGTAGAGAGTACAACATGGATCTTCATGCTTGTTTAACTGATTATAGCAAGGCATTTGATTGTGCCCAACATCAGAAACTGTGGACTATTATGAGAACTATAGGGTTTCCAGAGCATTTGGTGCATTTAAATGAAAATCTTTATCATGAACAACAAGCAGCCTGGTGAAACATCGGATTGGTTCGAGGGGAAAAAGGGAGTGAGGCAGAGGTACGTTCTCTCACCATACCTTTTCAATATATACACAGAAAATATAATGAGAAATGTCATAAATGACCAGACTTGTTACAGTTATAATCCGCTCAAAATTGGTGACAATCCTATTCCGGAACTTCGCTGCGCAGATGACACAGTCCTCCTTTCGAAAAGTGTAAAGGGAGTAAGTTTAATATTGTCTGTCCAAAAGCACAGTGAAGATCAAAATCTGTTCTTGAATTAAAAATAAACGAAAATAATGTCCACAGATAAAACTGGTCGTCACCCAAAAATGATGAAGAAATTAAAAATGTCACAAACTTTTAATATCTAGGCTCTATAATAAATAGCAATAGGGACTGTTTGACAAAAATTAAAATAAGAATGGCCATAGCAATGCAAAGATTAAACAGCATTAAAAGTGTATGGTTATTCTCTTAAGAAAGAGAATAGGGGCTTTTGAGCTGAAATGCTATAGAAAGATTCTCAGAATATCTTGGACAAAGAAGAAGAGAAATGCTGACATCTTGAAAGATTCTAACATCAAGGAATATTGGCTAATTAACGGCACCTTGTCTCGGAAGCTGAAATATTTTGATCATATTAAGCGCCACATAGGATTGGAACAAATAACAGCAGATGGCACGGTACCAGGAAGGAGGGACAGGGGTCGACCAACACGAAGATAGGCACAGGATATAAGTGACTCCTTTAGTATGAAAGCACATTAGGCGGGAGAGCTGGCGAGAGACCGAGTTTCTTTCAGGCAGACCGTGATGAGAGCGACGTTCTTTAAAGGACCTGATGCACGAGGATGAGATGTATAGCCACTCTACAATGTGGTATATGCATTTCAGCAAGAAAAGATTTCATTTTGTGCTTCATTATATTTTGATTTAACTCTGTAGTAACGCACATGACGCGCTACAGCAAAATGTGCCAGGCAATACACTATGCAATGTATTGTTTGTGTCCGCATTATTGAAATTTACAATGGGAAAAATACATTGTTTTGAATTTTACAATACGTCCGGCGTGCCTAAGGCATGCAAATTATCTTTTATATTTTAAATTTGCTGTTCTGTAAAACAAAAATATAACTGATTGTCAATAACATGCTACATTCGTGCCAGATCTCATAACGATAAAACAAACAATGGACTAGGTCATAACGATAAAACAAACAATGGACGTAGGAAAACGACGTAATACAGGTTAAGTTAACTAAAGAGTGAAGAAATGTCTAGGCTAGGTCATTTAACACCAGTGTAAGATTTTCATTAATAAGATAGCTAAAAACTCTCTAAAATATCTATCAATGGGAAACAGTGATTAACAAATTAAAATATGTTGACAAATTCTAGAAGTTTGAATCACTGACCTGTCTTTGAAGTTGTCCGACCAGTCCAGTAAATAACGTGGAATCATTTCTCAATGGTTTTCCCCATTCTCCGTCTTTAGGCTCTATAATCTCTGCTCTAGAAATGACATTAACCTATTAAATTATGTGTACCTAACATGCACTATATTATTTTGCAATATAAAAATTGAGATGGGTTTGTTCATAGTTTTGATGCTCGCTTTTGACTGTACAGCCCTAGTCACTCTCATCACGCCAACAATATGCAATTTTAGAAAGTTAGAAACTGACGGTAAGCTATCTTTGATGTCCGGGGAATGGATACGCGGTCAAGCCATCAGGGACAAGAGTGGATACCCAGAAGATCTGTATGCGCGTTGTGCATATTAAACTTTCAGCAGCCCTTGACAATCGAACGGTGAGACTAAAAAGGCGGCTTTCGCAAATATATTATTAAATATGGTAAGATTCTTCATGTCTTTTTTCTCCCAATTCTCTTGTCGAAATGAGGTGCCCACAGTAAGGCTATGCGAATATGACAAGATAGAAAAGAAGATAGGAAGAAGATAGGAAAATATAAAGTAAAAATCAGCTTACATATCCATTTACAATAAGCATAGGACGTTGCGGCGATTAGCCTTTATCAGCGGAACAATGACAAGAAACAAAATATAAGTTTACATATGTCAAAACACATGTAATCCTCCATTTCAGATCAAATCCCTGGCCAATTCACACAAGGCGTTCTATACCCTCTGTTTTTCATACATGTCGCCCCATGTCCTCTCATCTTTACAACTCCAAAATCTAGTTACCTTCTCCGATTCGATCTCCCCTTTCCCCCCCCCCCCCACCTCCCTTTCCCATCAACTTGTCCCAGTCAGTCTAGTTTTGCATAATCCTATATTGTTTCATTTATTTTACCACCTCTGATACTCACTGCATATAAAGCTCTGCGTGACCTAAGAGTAAAGCTAGGTGAAGCACGTCTATGACGTCTGATATGTCAAGACAAGAGACACTACAAAGACTGTTCATTGAAACAATACGCAGAGTTACCTTGGAGTAGCTGCTGCATCGGAAGACTGAGCAATATGCAGTGATGTCGATTTTTAACATAACGTATGAAATTCTAACATTCAATTGCATATTCTGGAGATTACCCCAGCTGAAGGGAGATGAATCGGCAGTCATGATTGCGGCTTTCTCTGAACCGTGTAATTATTCTTGCACCTTCTATTACAAAAGACTTTTCTCTCTCTCTCTCTCTCTCTCTCTCTCTCTCTCTCTCTCTCTCTCTCTCTCTCTCTCTCTCTCTCTCTCTCTCTCTCTCACTCACTCTCTGTCTCTCTTATCTGACAGAGCATATTGTATTCCTGTTTAGACTTGTTTATGGTCAGTTGGTTTCAGTGGTTATTGTTTTTACGAAAGGAAGTAGCCAACCTTAAAGCTGGACCCTAGACCTGGTCGTCTTTAAGACCGTATGCAAAAATTCGTTTGAACCGTACGAGAGTTTTCGAGATATTTGTTAAAGTTTGGTGACATGACTTTGACTTTTGTAATGGACTATGAAAATGCAAGATAATAAAACAGGAACTGGGAGTTTCGCTGGCTGGACATTTCCCCTGCCGGTCTTGTGTTCGAATTTTCGCTGAATGGGATTTTTGTTTTTGTTTTTTAATGGCTTTGCCTCGTAGGTTGACTCAGTATGAAATAGTAAAGTCTTTGAAAACAGAGCCAAAAGGCGTAATCTTGTCAATTCAAATATGTTTAGCATCATGTGCCTGATCCTGTGTGATTTTCGAGGGTCCATTTGGAGAGTCGGTGTGGGAGAGGGAGTGTAGACCCACTGTCCTCTAACAAGCATGTCGTAAAAGGAGTCTGATTATGGTTGTTTATGGTGTGCAACTGCTTGTAAGGCGAGGATTCAATAGTCTGTAAACCTTACGTTCTTGAAGAAGACCAAAGTTCAGAAATGGACTAACAACCACAACTTTCAGCCGGATTTTAAAGTTGAGGAATGCGAAGACGAAGAAGAAGATATGTCCTGTGTATTCCTGGTGTGAAGAAGATTATTTTTTTATTTTTTCAAATTTCTTTTTCTTGAAATCCATGTTATGTGGCGCTGGTAGTCATGTCTATCCACAACCTTCTGTCTCGTGATTTTCAATCAACTCTGACACAGATGTTCCCAAATGCCATGATGTCAAACTGTCCAGCATCTGTTCTCTCGGTCTCCGGCTACCTCTCCTTTTAACATAGAATATTAATATACTTGTCCGTCTCCAAACATTTTATGGTTTGTCAGTATCAGTTAATACTTACATCCATTTTTTCTTCTGGTAACTTACGTAAAATTCATAACGGTTTCCATCAGTTTCAACATGTCCATACACAGTCCTTCGTAGCCGTTTGCTGACAGCGTAACGAAAGGATACCACTGTAAAATAGACAAATGTAAAACGTTGTCAAATTTTCTGTTTGAAAGTATGTCTAATGTTTATGTTGGAAGTCTTAATTTATGTTCACTTCTTCTTTATTAAGTCTAGGCCGTGTATCGTTGGTAGTCATGTCTATCCACAACTTTCTGTCCCGTACTATGATGTAAAACTGACCAGTGTCCTACTGTCACGATGTACTCCAGTTTTCTCCTTCTCATGACATCATGACATGACTAAAGAGTGAAGGTTATCTCCTTCTGGTGTGGGCAATATGTTCTCTTCGTGAGTCAGTTTTTCTTTCAAGACATCCTTATTACACTTTTTTTTTCTTTCCAAGGTATTCTCATCATTCGTCTATAAAATATTTTGTCAAGTATTCTGGATGCTTGCCACCGGCAATTAGAAGATATAAATACAGAATAGCCCAAGCTAAAGCACTGCAGCATAGGAGAGTAATGTTATCTTTATCATTGTCAGCTGAGTTACTAAGACATTTCCTAATAGTTGTATATAACCTAAAATGTACTGAACTGAAACAGGGACAGTCTGCTTATTAGTAAGAAATTATATGGAAATTACAGATATATGATTTAATAATCGACGTAAAGTGAGACCAAAGAGAATTAAAGAGCCTTATTCAAGCTGGGGAGCACTGTGCATAAAGCTGGGTTTTAAAGTTGAGAAGATCAATTACATTGCAACCCCATATTTTTCGATCTTTCTCCGCAGAACGGCTAATCGTCTGCAGACCGGGGAAGCCGCTCTTGACCATTTCCTTGACTGTAAAACTACATCATCGTGGCTGTTGACTTAAGGGCTCATGGCTTGACCACTTCCTGAAAGCCATTTAAGTTTGTCAATCTTGGAGCCCAGATAAGTTATTACAATCTGCTTTTGTTTGGATTCGAACCCGATATCTTTAGGCTAGCAGACAATCATTTAGCCACTGCGCTCCCATTTCAGAAGAAAGCTTATGAAGATAATTTGTAGGTATACGACAGAGGTTGATTGGTGGCTGCCAGGGTGAGAGAGATAAAGAGAGAGAGAGAGGCAGGAGAGTTGACAAAGCACAGTGCGCGCGCATACACACACACACACGCGCACCGTATTACATGTCTCGTGAACGCTCAACGCAGCAGATATTAGAAAACTCACCTGCACGGTGGAGATTTTCAGCGTTCGATTGTTCAAGGCAAATAGTGTGTTGGGAAACACATCATTGGAGCCCCGCAGCACGACGTCCTGTGTATTGTTTACCATGGCAACCGTATTAAGATATCGGCCTTTCATTCCTCCGAAGTAGAGAGTATTTACTTGAGTATCCGTACAATGAGTAGTCTGAGACTGCAGAACCTTACAGAAATAAAAAAAAACCAAAAAGGAAAGGTGTTTACTTTGGACAGCAATATTTTTCTTACAGCACGCCGCATTTCTCAGATATAAACATAGCAAACATGATTAAAACCTACAGATTACAATGTACAAATTAGAGTGTATATTCATGTTTTGATTTAAAAAAAAAAAAGAGGTGGTAGATATATTAAACTTGTAAGTGAGATATAGTAAAAATGAGGACGAACAAATATCTTTGTTTGGAAACCAAACCTATTGCTAACCAATAATAAAATAAGTAATTTCAACGGTGTCGAAATATAAGACGTTAATGAAGACTGGAGAGTTGAAAAGGCCAGTATCTACTCCCAGGCAGCATTAGAAATAGACTAAATAGAATGACGTTACATGATTTTACCGATAATAAACCAATGGTAATTCACTGAGTTGTGGTAGACACCTGAAACCCAGCGTGACCCAGTCGGCAAGGTACCTGATGATGATGATGTTATAAATACGCTTACCAGACAATTACCTCCATCACGCGTCAACCATCCTTCGTTTTCTTATGGACAGTGTCATATGGTGTTTGTCATTATACAAGTCTGTCGCCTTCTCTCTCTTATGAAATCATTTCTGATTCAAATGATCTTTCATGTCATGAGGCCATATTGTCGAGCAGTCTTTCTCGTTCCCACCTCCCGCGTCTCTCTCTCTCTCTCTCTCTCTCTCTCTCTCTCTCTCTCTCTCTCTCTCTCTCTCTCTCTCTCTCTCTCTCTCTCATAAGGTAACATAAAAATATATGCAGAACATATGGAATAGAAATCACGTATAGAGTATCTAGTACGTATGGGAGCAATCGCAGCAGGAGCAGCTACCAATCATCTATAGAATGGTCGCTCGTCACAAATTGTTTCGGCCCGATAACCTAGACAGTTAATGTCGCCAGACTCCGGTTGTCCTGCTGCATTTAATCGGACAGGAACAAGACGAAGAAACGAGGTCAGACGTGAAAACACAAAGACTCAAAAGAGAATCACAGACTTTCAAACATTGTATACAAAGTCTTTGATTGAAAAACTCCAACTTTGTGCGAGACAAAGTTTGATTTCAGTTCCACATTGCTTGAGACCCAGAGATTATCTTCATTAGACCGCTGAACTTCAGTGAGTTAGTCTAGTAATTATTTAACTTTACGGTACCTGCGTCATAGCGTTAGTCAGGTGCAAAATAACACTTTTGTTGTTAACGTCGGCAACGTGTACCATGAATTCTTTGACGAGCTCTTCCAATTTCTGAAATAGTAAATGATGTATAAGTTGTGTTCAGTTTTCAAGTGGCAAAAACAAAACAATAAACTGTCAATAACTGCCTTTATTACCACTTTTGCGGTGCAGGCAGGGGGTCTTTGAGCCTGAGGATTTACTGCCGCATGGCTAGTGCTGTCGCCACAACTATGCAGGTGAGGATCCAGTTACACCCTCCCCCCCTTACACCCGCCCCGACAGAAAAAATCCCTAGCCTAACCGAGGATTCGAACTCGGGTGTTCCACTTGAGAGTCCAAAGTATCAACCGTTCGGCCGGCCGCTCCTCTTTCAATTGGCTGTACTACGTAATTTAAACTAATATTTTTTCCTTAGGATGATTCATCTTGACACTTAAATATATCTCTATTTTAATTTGCATAAACGGGACAGTGAATGCACTGATCGGGCTGGGAAGCGCCTACTGTACTGGCGTGAATGAATGCCTTGGATATAACTCACTACATTCTGACAAGACATGTGCCTCATATTCTCTCCTCCATTACCTCAAAATCATCAGTATGTACTTTAATTCATTTTGGTATATTCACTTCATATATAGCCAGCTTCTTATATTATCACTATTTTTTAATTGATCAAAATATTTATACTTTCCTTTTATATATTTATCTATTTTGGAGTTTTTACAAATATGGTAGCAAAACCTCTATATCACTAGGTACCTTCGCATTAAAATCGAAGGGGTTGACTTTTGTCTCTATTACTTCATCCGTGATTGTTTATCTTTATTGTGTTTACTGTGCAATTTAGTCTCCTTTGAAACTAAAATATGATGCTTAAACAATTTACCGTCAAAATGTCAGTGAGTTTATTTACGGGCGCTGGTATCTTTTTGAGGTATGGTTAATTCTTTCAGGACGTCATTTTTTCTAGGGTTTTGACAGCATTAATTTTGAGCGGTATCATTTAACTGCAACACGACAAAGCTAAATCTTTCCTGAAGAAAACGTATTGGCTGTATCGGGACATATAATATATCAAATTAAAGATAAATGAATGCAGATTAAATATAAAATATATAAATGTCCGTAAACAACAAAATATTATAACAATCAAACAACATGCAAGGATGTTAGACACATATGAAAATTATTGACATAAAACTGTTGTGCTTACCTTATTTTTTACTTGTTCAACAATACTGCTATCCAATTCTAAGATGCACATGCCTTTTCTGTTCAATTATGTATTAGCTAGTCTTTATTTGGTTAATTTAAATGCTTTTGATGTTACGATTATCTTTGTATGACATGTAAATTTTCACAACAACTGAAAATCGGAAAAATATTGATCTGATTAAAATATTTTGTGAAATTTTCATATATTCTGTAACGTTAATGAATTTGCATGTATTACTTCTCATCTTTAGAAAAGTGGATATACAGAAGAATAGATCATATCTCAAGGAAGCAAACACAACAAAGAACAGGGTTCTGAAGAGAATCGGAATTAAAATGGAGTTGTTCAAATAAATATAGCAGAGAATTTATCAATTCACATCTGTTAGTATTAACAGGCAACGATTACACTGAAAGGGTATCATGTGAAATTATCCTCCTCGTTAAGAGTATGCGTGAGCAGCTAGCATAGTCATTCTAGTAACAGGCAGCATTCAGACGCTACAATCTTTTCATGGGTGGCACATGAATGCAGCGATTGTTTTTTTCGCAGTTTTCACGACGTTAACCTGGTGGCGTATTTGCAATAAATACTAAACAGTAATTTAAATAGCACAATAATGCTAATCGACTTTGGCAAGGAATGGGGCGATTACAGCCGTTAAATGCACACCTCGCCATTTTAGAACCTATTAAAAAAATAATTTATATATTTGCACATATAAAAACTGTCTTTTTCTCTATGTTAGATCTTTATCATCAAACTGGCACCGCGAATAACATGCATGAGATAGACCAAAGGGGATGGATTGTATACCATCCACAATGGATTGAACAGAGTCGAGTGGAATGGGGAAATAGCCTGGGGGACTCATTGGGTGCGTAAACCAGCAGTGTCGTGTGATGATTATTATATTGTTCCCCCTCTTTAGAGTTCAGGAAGCTGGTCTCGAGCAGAGAGTTTTGAATGTCTATCCAGGCACCTTTCTTGGATACTAGATTGTTGGGAGAAGAATCTAGGTGATGTCAATGCAGAGGCCCAAGAGCCTATAGGTGAAAATTCGGATGAGGTGAATGTACTGATCTACAGAGATGGATCTGTTGTGCGAGGACAAAAGTGCATGGCATTTACTGCGTGCTCGGCAGGCAGAAGAGTCTGAAGGTCAGTGGTACCTTCTGTGTGACTACTAGCAGCATAACAATGGAGGTGGTGGCGGTAACACGAGCTTTCATGTAGCTAGCATCGCAAGGTTATTCTCACGTGTGCGTGCTGAATGATTCCATGAACAAGATCCGGCGGATCGAGGCAGGCTGTGTACACAGACCGAGGATCGAGTCATTGCAAAACTCCATTGTCCGTGGAGTCTTTCTCTCAGGGCATGCGGATGTTGTTAGCAATGAAAGAGCCGAAATATTAGCTGGCTCTGTCGTAGTTGCATAGGGCAGGCCCATGGATCATGCAGACATTGGTAATGCCATTAGAGAAGCAGGACAATCGAATGATTTTGGGAGCAAGACATCCACATCTTTGCTAAGAGTGCATGAATTGGGAGTAAAGATCGGCGCAGCCAGGCACGAGTAGCACACCGGACGCACGAGAGGTCTTGTCAACCAACATAGGAATGTGACCAATAACCGCTGGACGCTGATATTTATGTTAAAGGGGGAATCTGAGCACCTATGGACATGTCCAAATCATAACTTATAACTAGATTGCATTAATGTCTTAGTCTCTTGGTGGGTTTTCAATATTCGACTGTACAATGTTGCTGTCGCTTCTGGCAAATCTGTCCGCTTTTTCCTTGTAAGGCAATGAAAGATGGGATATTGACTGCATAATAGCTTTCATAAAGGCAACCATCCTCCTGATAAAAGTTTTCTGGCAGAAGGATCGAAAAAGGAGAAGAAGAAGAAGATTATTATAATCTCAAATGTTCCAACATACTCACATGACTGATGTTTAACTGATCCTGCTTATACTGGGTATATCTGGAGCTGACCACCGCTACATTGTCCAGGTAATTAATATCCTCTAGGAAGTTCGTTAACTCATCGCTAACGTTTCTCTCAGTTGGCAGAGCAATTAGCCAGCGGGAACGAAAGTTTAAAGCAGAACTTCTGTTTCGTTCCATGTCAAATATGTTAGCCTGTGATATGTCGAGAAAGAAAAGTAAATGTTATACTAGAAGAAAAAAAGTATGACTTTTTCTTTATAAATAGGGTGCCTGTACTCACCAAAAATTGTGACTCGCAATAAAGTATAACAGTAACAGCGAAGACAGATGCTTAAAAGAAAAGTTCCTGAACTGTATACCTCAAATTAAAAACATAGAAAGTTAGAAGTGATAAAGTAAACTGTCGTGGATACTCTCTAATTAATATGAAAAAGTAATAGCCACACTTAAATAAAAATCATCATCATCATCAATTTACAGGTCTTATACAAGTCACTCTCTTCACACACGCCTAAAAGTATCTCTTTAT